GAAAACCTGCTGAACGACTCCTTATGGTTGAACACTCACCCTGCACTACCTGCCAAACCTGAAAGAGCTGTGTACCCTGCTACCGGCAGACATGCCCCAGTAAGCCTGAGTGGGCTACGCTAACGGTTATGCTGATGGATAAAGCAGATCAGCCAATGACTAAGAAACCAAAGCAGCATTGCTTTTTCTCCTACTTTCCATAAAGGTGGTTGACACATAGTAGTTCACAGAGGTCAGTGTACTGGAAAAGAAAAGAATGACAACAGCATGACATGACCAGACCAGAAAACACAGTGGAACAAACAAGTAAAGGCCTAAAGTGGTGTCTTACATGAGGCATGCAACTAATTTATGTTTATTAAGATTGTGTGTCTTGTGTCTTGTGTCTTTATAGAAACTCCTGGAGCTGAATAACCTGCACTCTCTGGTGTCAGTGGTCTCTGCTCTTCAAAGCGCACCTATCTTCAGATTGAGCAAGACCTGGGCGGTAAGCAAAACTGCAGATTTATTATTTTATTTTATTTTGTTCATGATCTATTTATGACTTTTATTTATTTTTGACATTCTATTTAGTCGACAGTTAGGACTGTTCATTTTTTGTTTAATATATTTGTCCATGTGTATTCCAATTAAAATAACATAAGCCATATGTATATAAAATAATATCTGTAATAAATAGCAATGCATTAAGTCATAAAAATATGTTTTTAAGATCATTATAAATATGATTTGCATGGGTATTTACTGTTTAGTTATGACATCATCCCTAATTATGATCATAAATTCTGAATTTTTTATTTGTAATATAGTATCAGAGCATCATAGCCTCTACAGCAGAAGAAGTTTCCATATTTTATTTAGGAAGACACGAGGAAAAAACTTCTCATTTAATATTCTGTTCCCTTACAGGGGATTTATTGTGCATAACCACCAAATGCTAGCTGTTCTGCTGCTTTATAATTTAGCTGACAGTGCAGTGTTTGTGTTTATTTCTCCAGAGAGCCCCAGTGCTCTTGGATTTCCATTGATCTTATTTGCAGAGATGTAGATGAGAAGGCCGTCTGAATGCATGGGGACAGTGAAAGAATGAGCCCATTGGATCCCGTTCTGAACATTTAAGTGGCTTGGAAAATTTTGAAAGGGCTGTTTCTGAGACCTTGTTTAATGTTGCCAAAGCATTAAATCTATTTATAAGTATTTGCATCACCCCAGTTTGAGGTCCAAAACCTCTTGGCCTCTTTTCTTGAGGAAAAAGGAGAAGGACTAAACTATATATGCTGTACAGACAACACTTACAACCAGTCCTCAATGAGCACAACTGAATAAGCTGGGTATTTAACCCAGCATTTTTTAGAGTGTACATTGTTTTTTAGCTATATCGCCCAGCCCTAGGTGTAAACATATAAAGGTCCCAAAAAGCTGAATCCAGGAGTTTTTAAGGTAGTAAATGACTCTTTAAAAGTCAAATCAGGCAGTTTTTGTATTCACAGTACTTATTTTGTTGAGAGATGTCGGTGGTAGTGAGTTTAGGCTCACTGGGGGCCTTAATGATTTGGGATGCAAGCGGCTTCCAGAGTTGACATTCCACATTGAGCCACAGCACTTCTGCAAATTGAGAAAATATGGAAAAAGAGGGAGCATGTTGTTTATAAGTAATTGCGGCGGGACCGTTTGTCTGATACCACAAGCCCAGCTCTCTTGCCATACGTTTAGCTTTGCCACAAGGGAAGTTTGACAATGACATTATTAAATAGAATATTATGCATCATTAAATTATGTACTTAGTTAAATTTACATTTAACAACAAAGTTTATTCAATTTGTTAGTGTAATTCATTGATTCTGTGTATATCACAACACCCAATTTAGACCTACAAATAATATGCCAATTTATGAATATATTTTAGATGATTATTACTCTTTTTTGGTTTATGCTAGACACAGAAGCTGACATACAGTTGACAAACTGACAAAATGCCAGTCATCTTTAAAAAGCCACAGATTTTATTCAGTGTTCTTTGCATTCCAAAATGCTTCAGGTCTAACTAGAAAGATTGAAATGTCACATGGCCAGACACTGTGTGCATGCATCAGTTACAGGGATCATTTCTGATTCATTGCAGTCCTGTTTTAAGAGGTTGCTTTTCCATATGTCCTAGAACCCTGAAGCTTGAATTGGAGAAAATGTGCACACTGAACTGTGGTCCTTTTTTAATTATAGATTGGAGCGTTTCATTTGTTGTCCTGTTCATAATGAAAAGGCACTTGCGTGTATTTGCTGACAGTTTTGCCTGACTATAATGACTTTTTTTCGGTCTTTCTGTGCAAATGGTTTCTGTTTCACTGTGCATGGCACAGACTGGATTGAGTAATTCTTTGTCATTTGTTCCAGCCCATTTCTGAACCGCTTGACTTCGAGGCCTTGTCTCCCCTTATTTGAAGATTAACTGCTGATTTCCCAGTGGGCATGCAATGAATTAGGAGGAATATGGTGCTCACTGGTATACATTTTGGAGCAGATTATATACAAGGATATAGATGTTATATGCCTTTATCGTTATATTAAGCAATTTTAGGTTTATTGGATTGTTCTATTTTATACATGGATGCAGTGGGGTCTGTAAGTCTGAGATCACTTTAAAAAATGACTTTTTAAGCTACAATAATCAAAGGATTAAATACTAATCATTAATAAATAAATAAAGGAAAGTTAAAGTTGTGACATTAAATGTAAAAAGAAAAAATAAAATTCTGCAATTTGTTGTTCACTAATCAAATTATTTAGTGTCATTGATAGGATTCTGTCCAATGTTCTTCTTTTGAAACTCAAGATGCACTTTGGATCATTTCAAATCATTCTGGAGAACATGATCATCAGGTTTGACACAAACCTATGGAGTTTGTGGAACATATAGGATTTTTTTTTTAATTTAACTTTTTACTCAATTTTTTATTCTGATAATACAATGCATATTTTATTTTTATATCGTATTGTATATTCATTTTATTTTCTACAAAATTTTTCATGTTTCTAGATAACAGTTTGGACTTTTCCACAATTTAGAATACATTAGTAGTCAATAAAACAATTGTAATAACACAAACACTATATATACACACAAACGTACACGCAACAATGTGTATGTAAATTTACAAAGTACATAGTGCTCCTTTTCTATTGCATGGTTCATTCTCCTACTTTCATTTACTATTAGCTGATCCTCTATTATGCCCTTGTTCCCGTCCTACGTTATACACAAAAGACAAATTACAAATCCAGTTCTTAACATTGCACCTATGGCTAAGAAGCTCATCCCCATCAAATTCAGTCTAAGTGGAAAGTTGCTCAGCGGCGCTCCATCATTGCAGCTGCTGATGTATGGAGGCTTTCACTGCTATCTGGAACGGCTACAGAGCACAGGGCTGACCTCCATGAACTGTGATGTAATCAAAGTCAGCCATGTGTTACTGCAAAATAAAATAAAGATGTTAGTCGTTGAAGGAATCCCCTCACTTTTATCGCCCTCAGAGGGATTGTTTAGCACTGTGTATGTGTCTATGGGAATGAGAAATGCCACTGTGGCAGCCGCTCAAGCCCTGCACTCGAGGAAGGAGGCCGGCTGCTGCTGTGTTCGTGGTGGCGGGTGATGGAGGCTTGATAAAGGAGATCAGAAAAGGCTTTTGTTTTGGCATTTGGTTGCTCTAAATCAGGCAGAAAATGACTAGTCTTGTTGCCGAGATGGTACGCACACGCACATGGAAATCACATTCACTGAAACATGTCGGTGGAGTTACAGTTTACCCTGTTCATCATTTGTAATTGCTTTGTAATTAGTTTTTCCTTAAAATATCATAAGCAGTCTCCCTTAGTACTTCAAATCTTTGTCATAATATTATCATTTCCACACCACGCTCCCTGATTGATGGTGTCGTGATCTAACTTTCCTGCCATAGATTATCTCAGCACCGTTTAAAATCAGCTGCAGTTCTTACCACTTTCTTTGTTGAATAAAAGGGGGGAAAATCACTTTTCTGTTCCTCTGTTGCAAGTCCAAAGGAGAAAAATCCAAGTTGTGGTTCATTCAATTCTTCAGGTTCATTTTAGGCCAATATCTAAATGATGAATGAGAGTTAGCTTCCTGTCAAGTCAGCTCTCCACTCCCTAACTATTGGCTGAGTGTAAATGTATCTAAAAATCAGGCTCATTGGGGTAACTTGGCTGGTAAATGACTAATATAATCTAATTATTACAGTCTTTCAGTTTCTTGCAGATGCATGCCATTTGAATGTGGCATTCAGTTTCTTTCACTTCATTCAGTTTCCAAATACCAACTCCCTTATATAGATATGATAGAAAATTTTATTTTTTAGTTTTTCTTATTTTGTTATTTAAAAGGAGTAGTCCTGTTATTTAAAAGGAATAGATATATTACTGTTTTTGTTTTTACTTTTGAATGTACCACCTTTTTTGTTTCTATCTTCACACTTTGAAAACCTCTGATTTAGATATTTCACACCTGAGAATGATAAATAAGCTGATCCTAATTTACCCACTGTTATGTATTTTATTTTATTTAGTTATTGGTTGTTTTGTTTTTTAAAGGAAATATTTCACCCAGAAATGAAAACTGTCATCATTACTTCACCCTATTTTTGTTGTTTTGTTTTTGCTTTGCTTTGCTTTGCTTATTGTTTTTTTGTTTGTTTGTTTTGTTTTTTGTTTTGCTATTTTGTGGTTGTTTTGCTTTGCTTTGCTTTGCTTTTTGTTTTGCTTTGCTTTGTTTTTTGTTTTGCTTTGCTTTGCCTTGCTTTGTAAAGGAATAGTTCACTCAAAAAACCCTATGCAACCTGACACAGAGGGCATTTTCCACAGAGTTAAACAAGATATGAACATTAATAATGGAAAAACAGTACTGTGTGATTACATCTCTGGAGACTGGTGGAAGGTCATCTGCCAACAAAGTGGTTTCAAGGACTGTTACTTGGATTGTTGGACAAAATCTCTCACCAAACCTACAAAAGAGTGAACTACAATATGTGTATCTGTCTAACACAAGAAGAGCATGTTGAAGTACTTTGTGGAAATTCACTTCAGCATTTGATGTGATAAAGCCATGTGTGATGGAATTCTTCAGTTAATGAGCTTTTTGTAAATCCTATAACAGGGGTTTTGCACATGGTCATCCCCACATATTCAATAGCACATGTGCTGTAAAGAAGCATTGGGTGAAATTATGCCACTCATAAAGGCATTCTAGACACTGAGCCTGTTTATTGTGGTAATGCGCTTTCTATAAATGAGAAATATACCCAGGGCCTGGAGTTTGGGTGCTGAGTTCTGGGAAGTTATCCCTTAATACAATTTAATTAGTCTTCCAATGGGTTGTGTCTTGTTTTTCATATTTAACATATTTGCAGACAGCTTTATTTAGATCAGAAGTCTTAGTGGGGCTCCCGTCTGACAAGATTTACAAAACGGCGCCTCCACAAGTCCCCCATTCTAAAGTTAGTAGCCAATTGGGAGTAACTCTGTTTATTTTACAGAGGCAGTATACTACTGAATTCGTTATACTGAGTATACAGTATAATGAATTAACAGAGGCAGAGCTGAGATGAAAAATAGTTCTATTATTATTCCATTATGAAAAGTTCACCAAGTTAAAACAAGAATATTATTATATAGAGTTTAAAATGTATTCAAAGACATAACTAGAACAGTTTTCCTAATGTAGTTGTCTTTGAATAGAGTTTTTATATATTAATATTTTGTGTGGTTTTTTTCATCAGATTTGAATGAATTAACAGAGGTAACTGAGATGAAAATATTTGGTGATGGTAATGATCATTTTTCAGTTATTTTAAAATAAAATTTAAATTGGATGTATTAATATTTTAGTTTTTAATTGAATTGAAAATAGTAATTTTGTCTGCTTGTATTCTATTGTATATGTTAATTTGATATTTTACATGTGTATATATTTTTTTCTTGTTCCTATCCTATCCTATATATTTTTTACTTGTTCCTAAGTATGCACTTTGAATACCTTTGATTTAGATGTTTTAGATTTAGACATCCATTAGCTGTTCCTAATTTTCTGAATAAATGACCTGTTCATTCCGTATGTGCTTTCTGTTCTGAACAGTTGATCAGTCGAAAGGACAAGGCCACCTTTGAGAAACTTGACTTCCTGACGTCAAAAGAAGAGAATTACAACCGCATGAGAGAGTACATCAAGTCCCTCAAAATGGCCCCCTGCATCCCCTACCTAGGTAAGTGTTATTAAAAGATCACATTTGTACTTGGGTTAATGGTATTTTGTAGACTCCATCCCCTCATATCATGACATCCAGCCAGAAATGTCTTGAGAGATTTACTGGCTTTATAAATAGTTTTTTATTGCGGGGTTGCTATTAATAAGGCTGTAAATAAAGCTGAAGGTGCTTCATTTGAACAGAAGAATAATTTGGGTCAGGGAAAGGAATGGGTCATGGCCCACTGGACTTAGCCAGGCTTGTGATATTGACTCATTCAATTACTTCAGTATAATGGCTTTTACTTTTTTTTGATAAGGTTCATTTTAAGTTGGCTGTGAACACCTCATTATATTTTTTTGGCCTGGTCTCAATTGCACTTTCTATGGTGACCAGCAGAGGGTGTTTTAGTATACTGCTGTGGTTCAGTAATGATTGAGAAATGTGCCATATCCTGTTTTAGGTGTCAACACGGAAAAAATTTACCTTCATCAAATCATTTCAGGGGTTTTTAGGATTTCTGCTTAAACTCAAATATTGTCACCACGCAATGCATAAACCGAAAAGCTCTTTGACTTTCTAGCCACTTCAGTGGCTTTAAACAGAATGTATAGATGGAAAATACAATGAAATCATTTTGAAGCACTTATTTCCAAATTGGTAGCCCCTTTTTCTCTTATGAATAGATGTCTGTCAGAGACTCTCATTGGATGTTGCAAAAGGCCAGTGAGCGATTAGTTACACACACATCAGTCTCCTCTAAAGGCACTGACAGCACTTGAAATGGATGCCTCCCTCAGGATTGTCGCTCTCGTGGGGAACAGGATCCAGATCCTTCACTCAATTACGCTCTTCCATCTTAGTCATCAGAAGCAAGGTCCGTATTACTAATCCAGCTGTTAACCGAGAGCCAGACTTGATCAGGAAGGGATCTGGAGGCTTTGCCTTTAGGAGGCTTTTTGGATGTTTGGCTATCTTGTTTTTTTATGAGTTGCTCTTTTTAAGATGTGAAAGTTTGATTTTAAACACCGTTCAGTATGTCATTGCCACATGTTTGCGTCCCAAGCTCATGGTCACAGAGTTTTCCAGGTGCTCTTGTGTCATTGTGGTATGTGAATAACTAAAAGGCCAGTCAGGAATAACTTCAGGCGGCTGTATCTCAAATTGTCTCTTGGTCTGTAACTTGTGGGCTGCTTCTTTTCTAGAGGTCTGAAATGCACAAACAGACAGACACTGTCATTTCTAAGAAGGTAAGCATGCGGAGAGAGCTGACGCATGCCGTCTCGCTTCTCTCAGCCGCACACATCTTTCTCATTAACCGAATTTCCTTTACATAATCCACATTGAGAGTCTGCTTCCACTTGGGCAGCGTGTCAGTAAACTGCGTTCCACTCAACAGAGGGCTTTCTCAGACGTCACTCAGCAGAAACCGCTGTACCTGGTGCCGGTAGCTTGTGGTTTAGTTGCAGTGTAACTTATTCCCATTTCTGAGCAGCAGGCAGTTGAAACCGCAGGGATGGAAAGACTGTCTGACGTGGCTGAGGTTGTGCAGGCTGTCACTTCAAATCTGTCAGTTTCCACTGTGCTTCTCCAGTGGCCCTTTCCATTTCCCACTGGGACAAAGGAAAAAGGAAATGAAATGGTTTGGGGTTTTGTCAAACACTCTTTTAATTCTTTTTGATGTATTTAGTAGAACTTGCATTATTGATTTTACTACAAAAAAAAAAGATTGATACAATTGGTTTGTACTAAAATAACTGATGCGTCCTGAAAAGATGCATCCTGTTTTACACTTGGAATAGAAGTTTATGGGAAAATTGCACAGCATCACATGTTGAATAATCACAACTTGTTTGAAAAATGTATCATGGTACTGTTTCTAAAGTATTAAAGCCATAACTTACCAGCTTCACTAACAACAGAAATGTGGAGTTTAAAAACTATTAGCCTTAAAGGGATAGTTAATCGAAAAATGGAAATTCTGTCATTAATTACTCACCCTCATGTCATTCCAAACCCGTAAAACCTTTGTTCATCCTCATAACATAAATTAAGATATTTTTGATGAAATCTGAGAGCCTTCTGACAACTTGTTTGAAAAATGTATCATGGTACTGTTTCTAAAGTATTAAAGCCATAACTTACCAGCTTCACTAACAACAGAAATGTGGAGTTTAAAAACTATTAGCCTTAAAGGGATAGTTAATCGAAAAATGGAAATTCTGTCATTAATTACTCACCCTCATGTCATTCCAAACCCGTAAAACCTTTGTTCATCCTCATAACATAAATTAAGATATTTTTGATGAAATCTGAGAGCTTTCTGACCCTGCATAGACAGCAACACAACTACCACATTCAAGGCCCAGAAAGGCAGTAAGGACATCGTTAAAATAGTCCATGTGACATCAGTAGTTAAATCCTAATTTTATATAAAGTTATGAAAATTATTTTTCTGCTCAAAGAAAACTAAAAATAACTTTATTAAACAATTTCTTCTTTTCCGTGTTAGTCGACACAATTTTATTTCATTTCATCAAAAATATCTTAATTTGTGTTCCGAAGATGTACGAAGATTTTACAGATTTGGAACGACATAAGGGTGAGTAATTAATGACAGACTTTTCATTTTTGAGTGAATTATCCCTTTAATGAAGTTTGAGAACTACTTCAGGTAAAAAAACAAATTGCCTAAACCAATCTGCTTTCCAAATATCTGTACACCTTTTTATTTTAAAGCTGTGGCCAAATTTGCCATTGTTCTACAAATAATCCAGTCATTTCAATTATTTGAAAATGACTGGTTTTAAAGTGACTTCTGTAACGAGCTGTGCTTCGTCTAAACAACTGACAACAGACAATGGACCTTTTTGCAAATATTTCCGAAATTTTTGCAAATGTGATCTTAAATTATTAAAATAAATGTAATCATGTCACACAGATCTAATGACCTGGAGATAAAATAACTAATAAAAGCAAAGTCATTTATTATTATTTTTATCAATTTAAATCAAAATGTTCAATTTTTGATTCCTCGGGTACAATCGCCTAGATTTAGATTTCCAACCATAGATGGGACAAATTAAAATGAGTGTAATTCAGCAGCAAGCCACAGATACTCGGTGTAGCTTGTTATATTTATATTTGTATAACATTTACCTAGTCAAAGAGCAAATTTGTTATATGTAGCATTTTTGAATGAATTGCTTGTGCTTTTTATTTTGGCTCATAAACTTGTCAGGAGAACAACTACAGCTGTAGTAGACCGATGTTCAATCCATTCACAGACTAATAATAATAATAATAATAATAATAATAATAATAATTCCTTACATTTTGCTTTTCTGGGCACTCAAAGCGCTTTATATAGAAGGGGGGAATCTTCTCAACCACCACCAGTGTGCAGCATCCACCTGGCTACAAAGCCTGTAGCTGTACATCCTTTATTGCAACAGTTTGACAGTACTTGGGGAAATCAGTTACACTTACAGTATATTACAAATGACACATTATTTTCAACAATATTACATGTATATGTACATAAACATGTTTGATCTTCATTTGACACCAACAGCTAATTTACACAGTAAATACAGTTTAAATGGAGCAATTGATGACTGTTTTAAGATGTGTTTTTATGTTTAATTATGCATTAACTACGGCATTATATGAATTTTAAACATGATATTCCTGAAATAAATTCTGAGTCATTCATCTCATCAGGAAATATATATTCTCATAGCTTTGAATAAACTAGAAAAGCATACGCTATTTATCACTGGATTGGATGTCCTGTGTCTTAGTTGTAACAATGAATGAGTACTGATCAGATTATTTTCTAATATTTTATGACCTATTGAACAAAATAATTCTAAACAACAGACGACAGATTCACAATTGCACTGTATATATAAAGATGTACAGGTTTCACTTGATTTGATTGAACAAGGGTGAAAAAGAACATCATGTTCATGACTTCCTAGTGACAATTATTGTAAGGGAAACTGGCCAATTTATCACACTTCATTTTCTGTGTTGTAAATAGCTTTCTTTTGTAGTCCATGACAATTTGGTGTTCCTCAACCAAGTACAAGTACATCAACCAAGACACTGTTTGTCCTTTTGCCACATATATTATTTAACTGTTACATAAGAAGCTAAACCACAGTCTAAATGAATTGCACTTTATAGGGTGAACGGCGACTGTTGGGGAGCAGTTATCGGTTCATTCCCTGTGTTTATGTGCTGCTCAGTGGAAGGTGTTGGGGTTGGGTCGTATCATCATCACAACCTTCTTGAGAGAGTAGGCGCCTCCTCTGAATTCAGCCCAGTACACGCCGTCCTGATAGCGGCTGCGGTAGTGACCTCCTCTGTACCACACGCCATTCAAATTTGAGTGGGCACAGGCATTATACCACCAGCCTCCCTTTTGATAGTGGGCACAGTTGCCTGAGAGAAAAAAAACATGTTTTTTGGTAAGGTCAATAAATAAATTATAAAATCTAATAGCTACATTTTACTGATACCTGTGTATACATCATGATCTCTGTCCAGAGTGGTGAACTGCTTCCCGTTGTGCCAAGTTAGGGAGTCACCGGCATTGCCATGGTAGCGGCCCACCTTGAGCCTATAGAAGTCGCTTTCAGGTTCAAGGCGGAAACTTGCATACTCTGCAAATGTCTTGCGTCCAGACCAGTCCTCTAAGGTGACCAGCAGCTTGTAGTTCCCTTGGCTGGTTATCCAGTATATGTTCTCCAGACCCAGCCAATACTCTCCATCGATGTTTCCAAAGCCTTGCTGTAATAAAACAGAGGAGCGCCTGCCATTGAGTATTTGATGAACCAAGTAAAATATTTCTTTTAGTGTACATTACTTAGTCTATATTATTTTGTCATGTACTTGAGGCTGAAAAATGACATTTGCTGTAGGGTTTGTTCTTCTCTCTCTCTCTCTTGTTTTTTTTTTCCTTTCTTGTTTTACTGGTAGGCCTTTCGTTAGCCAGCACATTCTTTGCCTTG